AAAAATATAATCAGCTGATGAACACTGAGTTTTTCAACAATTTGCCTATCCAGTCTCTGGTTCGTTTGAGTGTGAGATTACACATAAACCCACACATGTCTGCAGTGACATCCAATCCAACAATGATCTGATTTCCAATTAAGAGTGGAAATCCTCAATTACATTCTAGATATGACCGATTCCTCCAGATTTACGGGAAACAGCAGCTTTTCTATTTTGGCTCCATCGTTGTTAGATGAAGACATTGAGGAGTTCTCTGTGTGGCCCTGCTCACTTTAGGTTAGATTTAGGACAAGTTAATCCCACAGTTCTCCAAACGCAGAGTTTTAGATTCATAGTTAGACTTTGCTTATTTCATGAAATGAGACAATCTTAAAAGATAGTAAAACTTAGCTGGAATGCTCCACATGTTAATATTTCATCCAGTCAGAGGAAACATGTTGGTAAAATAAAAGATTACTTTAAACCCAAATCTGACAGAGATATGAAAAATTTGATGATTAACTATATGTATATAGAGAGAAACATATACGCATTACAGGTTAGCCTGTAACCACATCATCTGATTTAAGATGGAATTCACTGATTAAATTGAACATCATGACACCTTATCAGCTATCTGAAAACAAAAGATAGATTTACCAAACCGCCACAGGAGCTTAGTGATGCCAGAGAGTCTGTATGGTTGATGATAAAGCCAGAGTAAAAACAAAGCTGCTTCATGGACAGATGTCTGACTACTACACTTTGGTTCCTGAGCCTCTCCTCTATTACAAAATCTCTTGAAAGAATTTTGCGGTCTCGTGTTAAATTAAGATACAGACTCCTTCCAAAAGCTGACAGCGACACAATAACGTTCTCTGCCTCAGAATGTTCTTTACTCGAGAAATCCAAGGGCCACTGATGATGGCGCTGCAGCCTGTAGGCGGGATCCTCAGACAGATACGTCTCCTGGCTGGACAGCAGCCTGGGAATCACCTCAGCTGTTTCCACATCAGTTTGAGCTGTGGGCAGAAACAATGTCCAGTTAAACACTGCAGCTACATATAGGCCAGCTGGTAGCTTTGCCTCAGAATGCCCAGCTGAGGATTATCTCAGATAGGCATTCTGTAACACGTAGACATTAAATTCATAGTTAGCATTTAAATACATAAAAGTCTTCTCTCTTTCTCTTTTCTGTAACCCTCCACACCCTCACTTGTCTCATACTTTGGTTTTTAAACTGTTCTCCTTAGATCAGGTCTTAAATGACCTTCCAGCCATTTGCAGCAAACAGTGATATGTGATAAATTCAATAATTACAAAAGATATACATAAATAAATCCTTTCTTTAAAAATAGTGGTGCTGTCAAAGTTAATGTATTAATTGCATGTAAACTCAAATTCCTTTTAAAGTGGTTAATTTCTTTTGTGTAATTAATGCAAAGGCTTCTGCAGATTTTGGACCTTAGCTGTGGTTCTATGGGTAGAGTAGTCATCTTGTGATCCAAAGGTTGTAGGTTTGAATCCAGTTTCCTCCTTTCACATGTTGATATGCCCAAAACTACTGAGTGGGTGAATGTGACTCTAGTGTGAAGTGCTTTGAAAATGACTGGAAAACACCATGTAAGTTTAGTCCATTTGAACATTGTTTCTCTGTGAGGCTAATCTTTTTATTCTGTTATTTTATTGATTGTTTTTCTTTTTTCTTTTTAATGTGATTTGAATTTTGAGTCTGCAATAACATCTTTCTGTCTATCTATCTATCTATCTATCTATCTATCTATCTATCTATCTATCTAGATCACTAAAACAGCTCCGCTCTGAGCAGCTGTTAGAGCCGCACACAGCTGACAGGAAGAGAAACAACGAAAAAGAATTTTAATTATTTTACTGTTGTACACAAAAAAAGCATTATATGCAGCTATTCACTACTGAAGCAACACTACACTTCCATAAACAAATAAAAAATGTGAAAATACGAAAGCAACAAAGACATGAGAAAGGATCCTCTGTTCAGCCTGTTTCATCTATCCTGCTTCAAAACGGATTGACTTTGAACAGTTAAGTTAAAGTCTGTTTATCTAAAATAATATTTAGCTTAATGTGAAAAGGTTCTGCAGACTTTTGGTTTTAATAAGCTCCTCCTTAAGAACCTTCCACAGGAAAACAAAAGCTGTCATGACTACATGGGTCAGATGCCTTTGTAAAGTCTGATATTTTTCTTATTTTTAGGGGTTTGCATCAAATGAAAAGAAGACTGAATACAGCACAAAAACAAGTCTGATTTGGTCTTTCTGCAGTCTGCCTTTGTTAATTTTACTCCATGACAGGAAACACACTGTCATCTTGTGTGAGAATATATGTACAGCAGTTCTTCTGGCAATTATTTTTACAGAATCTTGATAATATTTTTCATATTCAGTGATCTTTCATACTCAGCAGTACAGTAATATTTACAGTATTTTTGTCCCACTGGGGCACAGAATCTCGAGAAATGTGAAGCGGTGAAATGAATCTAAGATGATTTGGTAGCTTTGCCTCAGAATGCCCAGCTTTGGTTTATCTCAGATAGGCATTCTGTAAGTAGACATTAAATGCATTCAATGAGAAGTTATGTCCAAACTTTCGACAGGTTGTGTACAATGGTTTGCTTTTACACAAATATCTGACTTTTTTGTTTTATTTACAAAATGTGCTTCATTTATTGAGCAAATTAAAAAAGAAATCATCCAACTTTTTTATGTTTTTTGTAAAGGAGACAATGTTGTGCTGCATAGCAAAAAAAAAAAAGTTTTGTCCCTTCATGCCACAGTCTAGGGGACAGAGCCCCCGGAGTCTTCAAGCCTATCGACGTCCCTGCCTGACAGGGGGGAAAAAAAAGAAAAAAAGAAAAGGCTAGCTCGGATCCCACAGGCCGGGGCTTCTTCAGAAACTTGTACAACCTAAACACACACAGCCACACACACCGGTGTGTGGCTGAAAGGTCCGAACAACGAATAAGAGCGTTTTGTTCAGCCACACAAACCAAAGCGATCCGGGCCGACGGTAGAGAGCTCTGTGTGTTCTCAAACAAAAACCGGTGCTTCGCAAAAAAAAAAAAAAAGAAAAAGAAAGAAACGAAACGAAAAATCTGCAGCCCGATGTCTCCAGACTTCTGTAAACTGCAGCTTTTTTGTTAGACTGCTGATCAGACCGGCGTTTGGTCAAACAGGACAACCGAAAGAGAATCACTTTGTTTTATAGCAGATTGACTTTTATAGCAGATTGACTTTTTCACACACACACACGCACACACACAAAATAAAATAAAATAAAAAATACGGGTCAGAACTTACCCGTCAGTCCGATGCAGAGCAGACAGAGGAGCAGAGGGCGGACATGGCTGTAGCGCATGATAACAACTCACAAAACGGGACTGATAGGTTTTTATTGTCCGGTACGTGTTTAACCGCTCACCGTAACCATCCAACGGGATAAGTTTTCCTGCGCTGAGGAAAACGGTTTAGTAAGCAGACTGGACCCGCCTCCAGCCAGGGAGCAGCCCCGGTGCTGCCTCCTCTCCAATCACTGCTCACTTTAAACCTGCAGTGGATGTGAAAAATAAATGTGCTAAACTGGTCTAAGTTAAATCTCAGCATACTTGATGCCTCAGTAACCTGAGGCTGGCTAATGATTATTTAAAGGGGCAGTGTTATGTGTTTTCCAGGCATTTATTGTGTCATTTTAGTACAATCCAATAACTACAGTTACCTTCAGTTGTTGTAACAGTGCTATGACTTAAAAAAATTTGACTTTGTAATTTAATGCCTTGAAATTGGGCCTCTAAAACTCAACTGCTATTTCTGAAACTCCACCTTCAGGAAATCATCACAACACAGCTCCTCTATTAAGCCTTTAACAACGTTTTAATCAGCATTGAACTGAGAAGTAGCACATACAAAGTTCAGTTCCTTCAGGTGTTTTCTGTGAGGATGTAGCCTGGAAACTGCAACTCTGAGAACGAGCTGTGTCTTAAAGGCCACACTCACACCCAGGCATTTTACACAACTGAATGGTTGCCATGGAGATTATAAAATTTCTCAAACATGCATGAACAAAATCAAAGCAACACTCTGAGTATGTTTATGATGTGGGAAAAACATAACATGATGTAAAGCTCCAAAAAGTTGGTTTTACACAACACTGTCCCATTAACTGAAATCTGCTGGTTGGGAATATCTATAGTTCCAGTCGTTCCAGTTTGACGCTCTGAAGCTGACAGAAATTCTATACTGCTGGCTTCTCTGTCAACAGCCTTGTAGACTGTTGTCTTTTTCATTGCTGGCCTTATGAACTTTCGTCTTTTATTTCCATTTCTTGCCCTCCTCCTGAAGCCCCTCCACTAACCCTAGTTGGGATGTTTTTTCTTTGTATTTTTTTTTTTCAAATATAAAAAAATGTTTTGTTTTTTCTCTTAAAACTCGTCATTCATGCTTTTCTCCTTTAATGGCATCTGAAAATACATACTTTTTGCCCATATGGTGGCACTGTTGTCATTTCTATAAGAAACTATTATACTTCTTAGTTTGACATCAAACTAAAGTGATGAAGCAAAACTGTGAAATAATACAGTTTAATAAATTATTCTGTGCGATTGCTGATTCTTGTGTTTCATGAGTTTTAGTTGCACATAAAATGAGGAATAACACCAGTAAAAGATTTAGCCTGAAAGTATGTTAACATAAAGGCTGCTTAAAATATTGTCTGATTTGTCATTTTAAAAATGAATTATTTTTAGTAGTTTATTTCCTCGTTTTATTTTACAAAAAAAATATTATGACAGATGAGACTGCGATGGACTGGTGACCTGTCCAAGGTGACCCTGCCTCTCACCCGTTGACCTCTGAAGATGGGCACCAGCACCCCTTACCACACCACTAGGGATACACGTGTAAGATGATGGATGGATGACAGATGAGAGAAAACCACAGCTGTTACTCCACATGAACCACCGAAACAAACCGTTACACAGGCACTTTTTGATTGTAGGTTTTAAAAAGTAACTTTCATTTTTAAACAGTCACTGAGGAAACTGTAAAATGTGACCATTTGTACAGAATGCAGTCTTTCCATACATCCTGGGTATTTTGCTCTTTGCCATTTTGTACATTTGCAGTTTTGGTGGTTTCATATCTAATTTTATGTTCTGACGATTCAGAATCCACTGGCTTAACCAGGGTTCAGAAACACAGTCAGTAGAAATGAGATGTAAAGTCTTCATGAGATCATAGTGTTAAATTCATGAACATATTTAGCTCCCAGAAAAACAAACTGATGCACAATAATAAAGTACATGTGTACTAAACGGAATTAGGAAGACCAAATGGGACATAAATAGGCAAACTGACCTGCTCCACATTAGTATCACAGTATTAGTATCACAAAACTCATGGAAATGTTCCAGTTATTGTTGCAGGTTAGCTGGTTATGTATTCATGAGTTATGAAACTTAACCGAAATAAAAAGAAACAACAGAACACAAGGGAAAAATCTGTTTCCCACATTGCTCATTATGCCACTTAAGTAAGGCTTTTTTTTTTTTTTACTTCAGTATCTGTAAAAATGATAAACATACAATCAATTGTGATTTGTTTTTCCATCAGCTCTACTCTTTTTTTTCACATCTCCATGTTTGCTGGTTACACTGAGCCCAGCTCATGACATAGTCTTGATAAGCAGGTGTTCTCTGGCGGAGACAAACCGAAGCATCCATTCTTCTCACTGGCTGCATCTCTTGACAGTTCATTGAAGGGCTTGTGTTGTTGAACATCTCCATCCTCTGTTAGGCTGCTCTCTTGTTCTTCCTCCTCCTCATTGTCACTTCTCTCATCTCTTGTTAGCTGTGACACAGAAAAGTTTAAGGGAAAAAAAATAATTAAACTTTCAAAGTTAGAAATGCTGTTCCTCAAGGTGTGAGACCTATGGCTAAAGTTAATTGAGGGGAACGGTTTACCTGTAGAAGAAATTGCCCCAGATTTACTGAAGGGAAGTACAACAATGATTATATTGCTGTGACGTGCGGTCCCTGTGGTTTATAGTACAACCTCCCCTGTGGTTTGCACTATAAAGTACCTATTTTCCATTTAATTTAACCAAATCTGATGTTTTTTTCCTTCAAAATCACTGAATTTTCGCATTCAAATGCTTGGAAGCGAAGCCGGTAGCGAGCTGAGCCTCACCTGGGATTGCGCAACCTCTCGCTAACTGCACCGGTTGCTATGAGAGCAGGCTCCTCCTGTCCTTACGTCGCCAATAAAATGCTTAAAAACATTTAACGTATGAACTGATTTTCCATAATTTAGCTTATGTATTTAATGTACTGTGTTTTTATTATCACTAACTGTGTGTGTAACGTGTTTCGTGTGCTGAGGAGCGATCATAAACGGCAGAGAACAGATTCGAGGTGAGGCAAGCAGTTCTCCTGCCTTATGGCAGGGGGCGCTCATGAACCCAGACATTGTGACTCCACAACTGCAGAGTAAGAGACGGTAACAGCGTGCTAGCCATATAGTAGCTGCACTGATACGGAGAACGAGAAAGACGTGGTTTTGAGTTGTACTTTAACGGTTTCTCCCTTTGGTTTTAAGCACAGCACGAAATTAATTATATCTACATGTCTAAGTTTGATTGAGAACGGAATTATTCTGCGGTGGCGGCGCGGCTGAGCATCACATGTTAAAGAATAGTCTTTTATCCCTCCAGCATTGTACGCATGCGCGAAATTTCCTTATGTAAACCATAACATACAGGGGGTCTAGATTTGTCGGTGCCTCACCAGCTATGAACCTCACCGCACGTCACTGTTCTATTGGTATGTTTTTGTTATCTTAAACAAATAGGGAAAACATACAATTATAATGAACTTATGATATACCATAGGTATGTATAGATTCAAAGTCAGTCAAACACTAAGCTTGGATAAACCTTCTTGTAGACCTAGATCCATTAATCTCCTGGCACTTCATGACTCCATTCTGTAAGGATTCACAAAGCTACTATTAGATTATAAATAGGTTATTTATAATCCTTTTATAACTAGGCACAGAAAACTCATACATTTGGTTTTATTATTGCACCAATAATAAAAAGATTCAATTTTAGTAACACAAAACAAGCAAAAATTAATTAAATAAAGAGAGTTAATAAATTCCGTACCATGGGCTCATAAATAAACCATCCTTGGTGAACAAAATATTCTACCATTCTATCATTTCGGTGTAATATCTTCACAGTGAGCCTCAGTTTTCCACAACTCTTGATGGTTACAAAGCATTTGCAGTTAAACTGTAAAGTTTTTTTTTTGTATTTTTTCCCCCAAAATTAAATGGAAGGTCTGACATTGCCAGTGCGATGGTCAATGGACAGTGGCACCTTCGCCTCTATATGAAACCCTACAGTATTGTTTTTCTGTTACACAACCTTTATATGATGTGGCTCTTGTCCAAACTGTTGACCATATGGAGTCCAAAGCTGCATTTATGCACTTCTGTGTTCCATCAACCGCATCAGCAGAGATAAATTTTGAGTTGACGCAATGCACTAACACACACACACACACAAACTGTGAACAACAACTTACTGTGCCAAACAGAAACTTCCTGATCATGCGGAAGATGAGGTAGGCCCAAAATATGTGAAGGAAGAGAAGAACCACAAGCATCACGTTGAAGAAGTAGTAGCCAAAATAGGCCGGGTAGTGATGAACCGGGTAGACCCAGGTACAGTGGATTAACCTGAAGAACAACAACAATTGGCGTGAGTGTTTTCTCCCAGTGTGAACAGTTAGAAAACAGAACACATGAACCAGATCAGCATCACTTATTCATCCTGTACTGTTGTTCACTTATTAACACTGATATTTTTGGTGAGTCTGTAAGGTCTATAAAGCCACTCAGCATTTTATTCACCTAATTTTGGTTTGACGTGTTTTTGTATGGACCTCTGAGTTGTGTTATGTTAGGATTGTGTATAAAAAATAAAATACTTTAATTTGAAAAAAAAAAAAAGTTAACTTTTAAACATCCATTCATCCATCCATTTTCTGTACACTCTTGTCCCTTAGTGGGGCCGGGAAGGTTGCTGGTGCCTATCTCCAGCTAACGTTCCGGGCGAGAGGCGGGGGCACCCTGGGTAGGTCGCCAGTCTGTCACAGGGCAACACAGAGACAGACAGGACAAACAACCATGCACACACACACTCAGACCTAGGGACAATTTAGAGAAACCAATTAACCTGACAGTCAGGTTTTTGGTCTGTGGGAAGAGGCTGGAGTACCCGGAGAGAACCCACGCATGCACAAGGAGAACATGCAAAATCATGCAGAAAGACCGTGGGCCGGAATCGAAGCCAGGACCTTCTTGCTGCAAGGCAACAGCTCTACCAACTGCGCTACTGTGCTGCCCTTTTAAACATACAAAGCATAAAATAATACTAATCATGATATATGTTCTGCACATGAACATATATTTTGATTTGAGCAAATCAAAGTGAAATATCTATTTATTCTACGTAATCATGCAAACATGCAGGTTTGCATCATTTTTGTAGTTGTACATTGGAACTCTTGGAAAAGCTTACCAAAACGGAAAGATGATCAGTCGTGTTACCATAAACACAATGGCAAACGCAACAAAAAGACCATGGCTGGTTTTCTCCCATTTTGCGTAGTTGAATAATTTGGCAGACTGAAAAAAAAAAACAATACAAAACATGAGTTTTAAGCAATTAATACCAATACATGTCTCGTGTAGTTTAATGAACTAACTAATGAAACCATTTATTGTCAAAAGAATTCTCTCTCAAACTATAGTTCCAGACCACTGGTGGTGCATGGGCGCCCCTCAGTGATCGCGAGGAACTGTGCATAAACGACCGCTTATTTGCCGTGATGTGAGCTAAACGTGTGACGCTACAGCTAGCTTACCAAAGGATTATGTTAAAAGTAATAATGGAAAACTGACTTAAAACCATTTTGCAGTTTCAAACATCTTATGTTCAATGTCTTATGTTAAAGTTGTTCTTATACTGAAGATCTTCAACATTTTATGTTGAAGCAATAAAATGCTTCCAAATTTTATTGCTTCAACATAAAAGCAATAACATACGTGTATAGGTGTTGAATATGTTCAATGCCTAAGTTGAATATAAAATGTTTAACATGTTGTTCAACATAACAAAATTAAGCACATTTTTGCTATGAGTGAAGTATTTTTATAATTCACTTCCTAAAAATATAAAAGAATGAACTGCTGACAAAAAAGTTAATAATGTTTGACTTTTTCCCTTTTAGGGAACTAGATCCATGCCGTGGATCTAGTTCTTCATATAATTGTATATGAAGTATTTATTGTGTGAAAGAAAATTGACAGTTATAAAAAGTGTAATACTGTTGATCGTCTTTTTGTATTGTATAGCAAAAAAATACATGAGAAAAAATTAACTAAATTGAGTTGAATTGATAAATTGTTTCATCATGCAAAATAGATTTCAGATTTCAAATTCAAGTAAGCTGCTTTATTTTTGGGGCTTTTGTTATGGCAGGTCATTTTTGACCCGTAGGACAAGGGCAGTAAACAAAATGTTAAGATCCTGCAAGGGTTAAGAGACTAATACTTTCATTTCAGGTTGCATCATATATTGTTATTGGGGGCTGTTTCAGGTTAGGTGGTCCGTGACTGTTTGTTAAATGGGTTAAGTGGTCTTCGGCCTGAAAAAGTTTGAGAAACACTGGTCTAAAGGAACCAATAGACTGGCATGCAATACTGGCATCATGAGACAGTAACCATGGTGTTATGTGCTTCATTATCTGATGCATTAATTTGATGAAGTAGTCTTTAGTTTCTCATTTTAGCAGGTATGTCTTGTTTTATTTGAAAATTCTGATTCCTTCTTACTTCTTGTTTCGGTGCTGTTTTTCTAGAGCTCCTTTCAGATCATCTTTTGGTTCTGTAATCTAGTAAATTCACCTTCATTTGCCAAGTAAATGCACACAAACAAGGGATTTGACTTCAGTTTGGTCTGAATGTACAAACATGTAATCATATTTTACAAACAAAGAATGAGGTTAAATTGGTGTAACTGTTGGATCTCCAGCCATGAAGGATTGAAACTACACAAGGCTGGTTTGGGATCTATTCATCCCACAATGCACTGCACAAACCCACTTTAGCTTGAGTTCCAACACCAGAACATGGAGGGGTTTCAGGAAGGAAACTGTGATGTCATGAAAGCTTAGATCAGGGCAGGAACCAAGATAAACTATATCCCTCAATAGCAAAGATACATAGGATTCTGTTAGTGCATCCAGGACCTATGTACTGTGCAAAGATTTCAAAGTGCATGAATACAGCATGTTATGACTAAAATCTATGGCTTAACAATAATTGTGTATGAACTTATGATCCATATTTCTCACCGACCTCCAGTAAAATATCAGAAGCATCATGGACCAGCATAACCAGGGTTCCCATTCGGATGAAATTTGCACACCAGGAAAATGCCAGAAGGACTAGAGTGGCCAAATGGTGGATGATCTGCTCCTTGAAGTCCTGAATTACAAAAAAAAAGATATCCTTCATTTAACACAAAAATACACAGAGGAAAGGATATCAACCAATAATAGAAATAAAGGTTCTCAGCAGAGAGTGTAGAGAACATTTTTAATTTTCTGCTTTCATTTCAACCAGTACAATATTTTAATCTCCAATTTTTAAAGCTTTCTAACTTTCAGAAAAATGAAAACATTCAGTATTTAATATGCAATTACACATAATTTACATAGAACTCTGAAACTGAGGAACAAAATTGACGTTTTGATCTTTCAGGTGCATGACTCACCTTTCTCTTGACATCAAAAGCAATGCTGCAGAGAAGACAGCCATAAAAGCTCATCTCCAGGATGTAATACCAGTACTGAGAATCCAGCATGGACTGTGGACAGACATGGACAAAATGAAATGGGACATACAAACAAATTATTCCTTATAAATGTGCTCTCCATTTCATTTCCATTCAGTATAACTTCTTCTCATCTTCGAAGGGTTGGGTTTGAGAGGAGTTGCCTGTCTGCAGCAGACAGTGTGTGAGAGACACTCAAACCAAGAGACCGTTTAACCTAACAGTCATGTTTGTAAAAGAAGTGAGAGAAATCAGAGAGAACATATAACTATCCATGGATAGTTAGAACATATAAGTGACATGTAGAAAGAGCACAGGCTGGGATTCAAACCTGTAACCTTCATGCTGCTACCAACTTTTTGTAAATTGGTCACCATATATGAAACAATTACAGATGTTAACATATATAACATCAATCATGGTTTCATATTTGCTTAATTAAATTGTTTTGGGCATGTCAAAGTTCTGGTTGTTATCTGTAAAAACATGTATTAAATAACAAACCTGCTTTGGATAACCTGTCCATACTTGTCTAGAGTCATACAGCCACTCTTTCTGTAAAATATCAACACAAAGAAAATCATAATTAGTCAGTTAATTGAATTTAATTGGGAGTAACTGCTGAAACTGAGTTGTCAGGGCAGTATTCTGTATTTTACAGCCACATAGTGCAAGACTGGCAAACTATGTTATCTTCAGTTGTTATAAAATGCTGAATTTAACAAATATGACTAAAGAAATTTAACTGTGTAATTAAGCACCTTGAAATTAGGCCTATGTCTCTTTAAAAACTCTGCCTTCAGGAAGTTACCACATTTCTCATCTAACATTGACGTTTTTACCAGGTGAGAAGTAATTTGTATGATGAGCTCAGCAGATGTGCGGTTCCACCAGGTGTTTGCTAATTGCTGCTGGCTAGTCTGAAGGAGCTGAGTGGGAGAGAAGTGGGGAGGTTTGTTCTGTAAAGGCAGAAGCTCAAAATCTTGGAAGTTGCAGTTCTGAGGAGGAGCTGCGCCTCGAAGGCGCCTTTAGGGCCAAACGGGTGTTTTGCACAGCTGAGTGGTTGTCATGGAGATTAAAGTATTTATGCTTGCATTAAAGAGTCAAAGCAACACTTATGATGAAGGGTATTAGGGTTTCTCAAAAAAGTCATTTTACATAATACGGGTTTGATACTTACATCATAAAGTGCTGCGATTCCTCCTATAAACGCAGACAGGTAAAAGACAAACCTCCAACTGCAGCAGCAGAAAAAACATTGCATGCACAAATTACATAGCACATTTATGAGTATTTAAGGAAATGATATCATCACAAACACAACTGCACACTTACACAATCAAAGATGACACTATAGCAATGCGGTAACTCCCTTGTTTTCTTGCTAACAGACAGATAATCTTGGTACAATTGGCATAGACAGAACAATGAACTGTTGAAGTGTGCACTTCATGTATTTGAGAAGTTCATTTATTTCAGAATCAGACAGCAAAGTATTTCTATTAAATAAATCCAGGTGCTATGGGATGAAGAACATTAATTTCTCTTCATTTTGGTGATCATTTCAAAATGCAAGATACACTTACTAATTAGAATATTCCATCAGAACAATTAAAAAAAGTACTTTTTAATTGCAGAGTTGTGGGCCTTCTGAAAAGTAGGTCCATGTATTGTTGTACAGTATCTGCACCCAGTGCGCAGTCTGGGCTCCTTTTGCTAAATCAGTGCAATATGGATGGAATCATGAAGGCCAAGTTGTTTTGTTCGTGGCCTTCAGCTTGCTGCATTGTTGTTTCTGGTGTCCCTCATCTTCCTCTTGTCCTGGTCGACAAAGTGGACCAGCAGATTATATTTCCCCTCTTCCTCCAATCCCTGGGAGCTTGATTTCAAAATGAACTAACATTTGTGATGCGCCATGAGAAATCCAGGAACAAGTCGCCAGAGCAGAATAAACACCGATTTTTAAGAAAATAATGATTTTCATAAAGTTTTGTGTTTGAATAGTACATCATACATTTTTTCAGTAACTTACAGTTAGGTTGTTGCAGCAGATTTTATTGTATTAAATCTTCAGACAATGTCCAATTTCAGCTTATAGACTCAATTTGTAGCATTTAATCAAAAATGCTCAGTCTGTGTGATTCTCAAAAGGGAAAAAGTGCAAACAATGTCTACCTTATGAAATTATCAGTCAAGTTTAAAGTTTAGACAACTTTTAAGCCAGGCAAAAAAGTTTGGTCTAAACATTGATGAAATATTATAAATCTAAACTAGCTATATGGTGGCGTTTACTTTATGTCCATCAACAACTTTAACATGGGAATCAGATATTTTGCTCACTGGGCATGTCACAGTGTTAGTTTTATTGAATCACTAACATTTATTTATATTTATTTAGCCGATTAATATTACCTCTTAAACAAGCATCCACACATCCTCACACACAGAAAATGAGTAGTGACCTGGCCTCTCTGAATTTCTTTAGGACTCCAGGATGATCCTGCCTCCGTCTTCTTCGGAACCAGCGTTCAATTTGCCTGACAGGCAAACTGCTTTTCTTAGACAACCCATTAATGTCAGCCTGGAATTAAACACACACAAGCTGAATAAATATGTTTAAAGGCAACATGTTCTCAATCATTTTTGTGTTAACAGTTTATATTTGGGAATCTGAAATATCTCAAAAATACTTTAGTTTGAGTTTCCCAGAGTCTGGATGCATATTAAGAGATTTTCTGTGACATCATTTATGTTTTCACAAATGTGTATTTGCATAGCTGCACCACAGCTCTTAAAAAAAGCTCCAGCCTGTGGAAGCCCAGGGGCCTTAAGGGCCCGGCTAGAAGAAAGCTGTTGTACTGTAAACCTTCAGTGCTTTAAACGAAGCAGCAAGGTTTCATTCGGACACCAGTTGCTAGACTGGTCGTCTTCCAGTTCAAAGTTAGGAATTCAGTCGCCAACCCCACAGCCACAATGTTTATCGGCAAAACAATGACATGAGAGGGACTGCATCTCCATAGACAACAATGGATCTATACCCGGCAACCTGTAGGCATGAGGTGGGCGTTCCTGTGAATGACTCAATCATTCACAAGTAGCATTGCAAGCTAACCTAATTTGTGTGAGGAAACTGGAGTACCCAGAAAAAAAACCAACACATTCACAAGGACATCATGCAAACTCACCAAGCCCTGCATGCTCACAGAATTAGTCAAAATGATTTTGAATAAGTTTTTTTCATGTTAAAGTTTTGTTGGTCTTAAACGTTTGCAAAATTGCTGCTCTTCTATTTTAAACATAACACTATTTCTGAATGATCTTCACAGATGAACTCTTTCAGATGCTGGCTGGTACATTTTTAATTTACTGTTTTACCTGAAGTGGATTTTTACTATGAGTGCTGTAGTAGTTCTCCAGGATGGGGTTGTGTTCTACTTTCAGTTGGACTCGATGTCTGATTCCTGCAGAGACTGCGAGTGGTGTTGCTATCCACCTGCATCACATGAAACACACATTCAGGAGGAGCGTGTCAGTGGAGAAGGATTTCAGCGTGCCATTGTAACAGTGGCTCCACACAAGTGAAATAGTATGTGGACATAATCCTGATTCAGCGTTTCAGTTTTTAACTGTGTCTCTCCTGAAAGAGACGCAGAAGTTGCTGTTATTTTCATGTATTTGATTTCCTTTTCATTGAAAGTACTTTCTGGATCTGGATGCATTTCTATCATAAGAAGCTTGAGCCAATTGCGTCAGATGGCTTTTGTTAAAAAGGAGACATGCTTTTCACCGTCCTGACATACTTGATCAGTAGAGTGTGTATCTTCAAATACAATAACTTAGGCTTCTTTAGATAGGCAACTTCCCCATTGATTGGTATTGTAATTAAACTAGGCTTAATATGTTGATATTAAAAGGGGTTGTATGATAAAATATTTTTTAAAAACCTGATTACAATAAATTGAAGCGTGTGGTTATAACATGACAAAGTGTGAAAAGATAAATAGGAATGAATTTCTTGGCAAGGTGCTGTACTGCATTTTATTTACACATGCAGGCTTATTTTTCTAAGAACCTACAGTAAGTTCTGAGATTTTAGCCCCAATCAAAATTCAGCACAGCCTCGACGGATGATTTTTAGCGTTTTTATTTTCTTTTTGATCTAGATCACCATGAAAACTAAAAACATGTAAATATTAAAATACGAAACATAGGCTTACAATACAAACAACAAAAAAACGCACCTCGCTGCTTTCACTGGAGGAATGCAAATCATTTGCTTTTGTTTATGCAGATATTTGAATCTCGTTGACAGTCGTTTTCCAGCAATTCACAGTAAAATTGACTGCTGCCAGATTTTATAAGGCCTGCCCTGATTGGCTACGGCACCCGATAAGGCCCAAAATAAAACATGGAAAACTACATGCGTCATTAAATCAAAACTAAATATAAACAACCAACAGAACAGTGTCAATGAAAGCACACAAACATCTATAAACAATCTGCACAATTTGAAAATTCACGTTAAATAATTTACAAAATTCACTGAATAATTTACACAATTTATTTTAAACAATTTACAATCCGTTACACTTTGCTTTATACAGCTGAACTATTTTTTAAAGGCCAACACCAAATCCTCAAGAACACAGAGATGTTTGTTCTTTACTCAAGGTGGGAAAAACAAGGACAAAGTTCTTTTTAGCCACTTTACAAGAACTTAAGTACATCAACACCTTGGAAGTTTATATCCCTCCCACTCTACCACACCTCATACCCACATTTCATATTTCTCAGAAACCACACAAGAGGAAAGTTCTGCCCACATAAAGTCTCAAATACAGTTGAATGAAAAGAGTGATTCCTTTCTGTTCTTAAGACTGTGTATTGTCCTTAATAAATGTATAGAGTCTGTCAGTCTTTTAAAACTATATCTAATTCTTGTTCATTATTTTAGAAAAAAAATGCATGCCATACATAACACACATATTGTAATCTGCATGTGAACTCTTACCTTTCAAACAGGTATCTGACCAGTAAAAAGCTGAAGGCATAGGGGACTGTGACATAGAGATGTGAGGCTTTGGCATAGACCCGACCGTCCCCGTCTTCCAAGTCGGCCCAGGACAGCTCAGCAGGCAGCCACAGCTTGTCCCACCAGAACCACTGGTACAGAGTCTCCAACATCTCCTTTCTAAGCAGGCAAAGCAAACAGGGTATGAAGATGAGACAACATACAAAAGAACAGCTTCATTAGAAAATGTTATCATCCAAGTTCCCTATGTACAGACCAACTCACTCCTGAGGTGAACATATAGCTACAAAGCAATCGTGGCATTTTGGAAAGGAAACTTGGAGAAAACACGTGCACAGGGTCCAGTCATTTCTTATTGTGTCTTATTTATTCGTATGGTCTAAGTCAGGGGTGTCAAACTCCAGTCCTCAAGGGCAGCTGTCCTGCAGCTTTTAGATGTGCCACAACTACAAAACACTGGAATGAAATGGCTTAATTACCTCCTTCTTGTGTAGATGAGTTCTCCAAAGCCTTGCTAATGACCTAATTATTCTATTCAGGTGTGGTGCAGCAGAGGCACATCTAAAGGTTGCAGGGCAGTGACCCTCCAGGACTGGAGTTGGACACCTGTGGTCTAAGTGGAATACTAAAAATAAGGTTCCAGAGAGAACCTCCACTAAGCAGTGTGCATTTAAAGATGTGACAATTTCCCTGTACATACAGCCATATTTCCTAAACAAATATTGACCTAATCATCACTCCCTTGGTTTCAAATCCACGCCTTTTTAACAATCGTCCCTCCCTGTCATAGACTCATTCACCCACAGAGAGAGAGAGAGAGAGAGCAGGGCGGGCAAAATAAACAAGGCAAATGCTGACAAAGAAAGCCCGGGTTGAAAGTAACCTGAAACAGGTGCAGATGATAAGGGTGAGCTCATGCTAACCTGGTACCTGTAGCCTTTAGCCTTGTATTAAGGAGCGGAAGCTGAAGTGTTCTCTGACTTATTTGTAGGATCCCAACAAAAAAAAAATCAGGAATGTCAGTTTTCCCTTTCTGCTGTTTTTTTTAAATAACAGCCAGTGTAACATGTGCATGGTTAATAATTAAACTTCCTGCATTTTCTTCATCAATGTCGTACCATGTACAGGGACATCAACAGGATTTCCAAAATTAAGACATTACGACAACAAAGAAATAATGAACCCAACGTTGATAATTTGGAAGTAGGGATTGTTCTGTAGGTTCCTGGTTTATCTCTATCATTGTGTCCTTGGGCAAGACGCTTCACCTGCTGATGGTGCCGCTGAATCAGTGGCAGTGTGAATAACAGCCATTGACCATAATTTATTAGTTTTTCTGCTAAGTCTTGTTAACCATAAACCTCTGTGTTTTATTTTTTCTTAAAAATGTAAAATGTTTATGGATTAAGATCCTACTTATTTTTTTTCCAAGTTATGGTTTATGAGCTGCTTCAATTATTTGAGCTTCCTGGCCTCCTTGTCATCACATTAATCTTTTGCTCCCTTCACAGAAAAATTAAAGTCCAAAACAGTAATATAACTTCGAGCAAGAGAAAACTCATTGGTTTTCAAAAAGTCAATCTTCAACTTAAATCTGACAGGAATGTGAAGGTATTTGGACTTAAAATGTCAGGTTTGAAGGCAACTGATTACACTGGAGTTTATTTAGGGGTACCAGAATAAAGGGGGCTAAACATAAATGCAGACCACAACCTTCAGATTTTCCTGTCTAAGAGGTAATAATAATAAATAGATAAAAAATAAGAATAATAAACTTTATTTAAATAACAGACATTGCACTGCTCAAACATGTCAGAATCCGATGTGCTGTACCATGTTATAGCATAAGATAATTCTCATCTGCAGGGCTTTGGCAGGTTACAAATAGAAATATAATATAATAACATAACAAAGTTGAACACAGCAGCTTATATTCTACTCTCACCACACACGCACATAAAAACACACATACACTCATGAATGTATAAATTACTGCAATGTTAATGGAGACCATAGCCAGGCAACCCACATTATTGATTTTGCTTTGAGCTGACAAACAAAGCTGAGCACACAGTGAGGGAGAGTAACTGCTCATAACAAACCACTGAACCTGAAACTGAAGAGGAAGAAGCTGAAGCTTACTTCATGCCATCATTTGTGACTCCTTTTATTTTTCACTTGGTTCAAACTGTAGTTCATACACAGTTAAAGCATAAGATATTTTTGTTGCATAATAGTGTTATTGTGTATTTCTGCTTAAACCACACCTGTTATGAATGAAGCCAAAAATAATTAAGCGCAATAATTCCACTGTATCACCGCCGATATTATCTCCAGTGAATCAGGAGAAACTCCTGTCAGGAGTGATTTCAACTCTGAGCTCACAGGACAAACCCAGACATTGACATCCTGTTTGTCTCAATCAAAAAGATCTTATTTATCCAAAGTGACCAATGACAGGTTTTTTTACAGCAGTAGGACAAACTTCACAAAACTTTGGGACAGATAAATGAGTCCTCCAGCAACCTGCAGGGCTCAATGTTTCTACAACCAGAGCTACACACACTTAAAAAGTGCAAAAAGTCAAAACAGTGAGTGACGGTCAGATTAAAAATAACATATCAAGGTCAAAGTAAAACAGACTTACCTATCCACTAACTGCCATCAAACACAGAAGGTAAGGGCAGCTGTTTCCACTCCAGGTGGCTGTTTGTGTTTGCTGTGAGAAATGAAGGCTGGCAGGACAGCCCTTTATACCACCCCTCCCCAACACACGCACACACACACACACACACACACGTGCACACGTACACACACACATGCAGATTCCCAGCAGCTAGTTTCTGTATAACGTTTTTTAGGTAACGCCCAGCACAGCTACAATTACCTACGAAGGTCTTTTCCTCCCCTCCAGGAAGTAAAGGCAGGCTGACAAACAGCATCAGGTGTTTTACTGCCTTGAGGAGATCTTAATGTTCCTTTACCAAGTTTCTGATAACTCACAAAATAACAGGTTCCCTCAGAGGAGAGCCATCTAAAGAATAGATGCAAACAAGATCTGAATTAAATTAGATTTTACTTTAGATACAGACATTTACAGGATTTTGTATTTCTAAAATTACACAAATGGATAGGCTGTTTGCTAATTGTGCTCATAATGTTGAATAGCCCAGAACCGAGGCAGGATCCTCCAGACACGACTGTAAAAGCATCTTGCATTCAGACAAAGCTCTTCTTTCCCAGTTTCTCTAACTTGATCTACACTCTGTTCAGACATATTATGCAAAACACCTAAAAAACAAGGTGTTGCACTTACAAAGGTGTTCAAATAGTAAATGTACTTTAACATTTAAGCCAGACACAAGTCTCTTTAATCAGTCTATTTTGTGCATCAGTCACTGAGATACAACTATTGTTTTCTATTTTCACTCCATTAAAAAAAAAAAAAAACCTTGGGCATGGTCTCATTAGCATCCATTAAAGACGTTGATGTTAAACTTGCAGAGGTTTTCAGACAGGAAGTAAACTGGAACATTCAGCCAGGCAGCCATTTCTTAAACCTGTCTATTTTATGTTTCTTTCTGTAACATAAAGTTCTTTTTCCCTCAACTTTTTCTAACTACACTTAAACACTTTTTTGGTCATTTTCTTCTTAATCTCTAAAAACATTGATCACCTTTGTAAACTCAAATACTCAAATACACACAGTAAGCAACCTGGAGTAGGCATCACTTTCTGAAAGGTGCCCACTTTGTATTCTCCCAGAGATAAACCTCTTTGTTCTCCAGTTTGATCTAATCCCATTTAAATATTCCTAACAGACATGTTGTTGTTCATACAACTAAAAATGATGTATTTGAGCTTATAACGGTGATCAAAGATACATTAAGTTAGGCATAATTTTAAGAGCCTGTTTTATATATTTCTCCCTGAGTTGAAGCTTTTTTTTCCCTTAGTTTGTTCTAACCCTGGCATGTTCTTGTTAAAAAATGTCCAAAATAACTCTCTTTGAGCCTACAAAGGCAGTTAGACAGTAAAAAACCTGGAACATTCAAGCTAGGTATATTAATTTTTGTGCACTTCTCACTGAGATAAGGCAAGGTAAGGTAATTTCATTTATATAGCACATTTTCAGCAGCGAGGCAAAAGTGCTTTACATTAATTAAAAAGGAAATACAAATAAAATAACAAACCAAAGCAAAGAGCAAAAGAAGAAAAATAATCTAATAATGTTGATCCAAAGTATATAAACTAGATACTCCTGTTCAGGGTTGCTAGATAAATATAGGTAAGTATCCTCTGGTCTAATTCCTTTTCTGGGTTGGAAGAATAGGAGTCCAAAAAGTAGTTGCTAAAGTAGTTTTTTCTGGATTCTAAGTTTGTTCTGTTCTGGGTTTCTAGATAAGCATAAGTAAGTAAGTAAATATCCTCTGTACTTTCTAAGTATGTCCAAATTTTTAAAAGTAAATGTTCCTGTTCTGGAAGTAGTTTTTTCTGGATTCTATGTTCGTTCTAATTCCTCTTCTGGATTGCTAGATAATTATAAGTTAATGAGTATCCCACAGTTTCTAAGTAATAATAAAAACTAAATGTTCCTGATCTGGAAGAATTTTTTTTCTGGATTCCAATTTCATTTTAATGTTTTTTTAATGTTTTTTTCTGGGTTACAATAATAGGAGACTCTCTGCATAATAACCTAAAATGTAATTCTAAAAGTATTGGTCCAAATAGTGAGCACTCCACAATTTCTGAAATTACTAATAAACTAGAGTAATCTAAAAAGTAAAGTATAAAAAGTAAAGACATATTTTACTAAAGTATAGTAAAATATGTCTT